TCGAGATAAACGTCCAACACGGGCCCAGTGGTTCTCACGCGAGTCTTCGAAACGCGAGACAACTGTTCCGTGGAACCGGAAGGGATCGAGGGGAACCGGAAGTGGCCTGGGAGCCTGGATCGTGGTACCACGGACTCCGCCATCGCGAAGGGGCAACCCCGCGAGAGACAAGATGGAGTCGTGGTGGATTTTCGGGCAGACTCGGGAGCGATTTTCCAGCGGCTGGGAGGGAAGCGCGATTTTCTTAGTCCCCCGGAGAGCGACGCGTATGGGATTGTTAGAGAGGCGGAAGGGCAAGACACGGGGCGAGGAGAAGAAAAGGGAGGAGACGTGGCAAAGGGCGGCGGGGCGAGCGGATGGAAGGAGCGCGGGCGGAGAAGGAAGGCGGAGGTGGAGGAAGGCAGAGGGGCTACGTACAAGGAATTCATGAATACGAGATTGCACTTGGAGAGCCTCGGGTAAAAGGCTGCTGCAGTTGCCGGCTACTGCTCCGCGCTCGCGTCCCAACGAGTAAAGTGGACGAACTTACGTGCACGGTCCGAACTGCCTCCCTGAAAAAACTCCTATCTCCGAAACCATTCGTAAAGATGCTCCTCCTGCACCGTGCCGATTTCTCCGCTCCGCTCCACTCCACTCCACTCCACTCCACTCCACTCCACTCCACTCCGCTTCGTTCCGTTCCGAGACTCTCGAACGCTTCGGAAACGCGCGCCGCCTTCGCTATACAGACCTTGCCCGCGTTTCGGTTAAAATAACACCTTCGTGAGCTCCATCCTCGGATTATTTCCGATCGAAACTAGCGCCGCTTCCCGAACGTAATTACCGGCTTACGACGTTAGATTAATATCCGGCCACCTTCGCCCCTCGCTCCTCCTTCCGCCTCTCTTTAGACGTTCTACGAGGAGCAAGAGGCTCTAGCTCTCAGCTGGCTGGCTGGCTAGGCAGCGAGGCTGGCGAACGAGCCCTCGAGGAAACGACGCGTACGCGTATCTAGGCTAACAATGGGAACGGTTAAATATTTCAGGCAATTTCCTGACGGGATTCGCGTGGCCGGGATTCTTGCCGGTTTCTCGAAAGGCGAGTTGCTCGGCCGCTGGTACCCCGGGGAGGAGGAGATGGAGTTGCCGCGTGCGTTCGCCAGTTGCTCGGTTCGCGAGCTCAGCTGCCACGACGCCACGGCACGGCACGGCAAGGCACGGCATAGCACGGCCAAGGCAGAGTTGTCTTCCACTTCTGAAAAGCTAGCCCATCGATCTCCATTCGATCTACTCCCGCTCGGACGAGTCGAGCGTCGACGAGCCTCGGTATAAATAGCTCGGCTCGATCGTACGCGATCAACAACTCGCGTGCATTTGTTCCGCGTCTACGGCGGGAGGATTTGTTGATCCTGACAGTGAAGTCACGAGGTAGTCGCTTCTCTCTCTCTCTCTTTTTCTCTCTCCTCGGCTCTTGTCTCTGCTCTCCGTTCCCCCTGCCTGACGATCCTCTACCGGCCACGAGTCCCAACCCTCGTTCGCTCTCCACTGCTGCCTCTCTCGTCTCGTGTCATCGTTTTCCACGCACGCATGTACACGCACGTGCGAGCCGCGTACCGATTGCGCTTCGAACTCGTTCGAGGAATCGTTCAATAAACCACTCGCCGGACTGGATGGTATTCATTGCTGCAAATCGATCGAGAAACGTTTCACGGCCCCGAACGGGATCGCCGATCGTACCTACTCTCTCCGGGGGCGTTCTTCTCTCCTCTTCTTCCTCTCCTTCGTCTTCTTTCCCTTCTTTTTCTTAGTCATTTTTTTTTCCCCCATTTTCGATCCAGACGTTGCGTAATTCGCCGAGTCGGCGAACGGTTTCTCCCGTCGTACCGTTGCCGCCGAGGTTTCAGTTCAGTTCGAATAATTTCGATCCAACACCGATCCAGGCCGATCCTCCGCGTCCGCCAGGGTCCGTTCAACCTCGCGACACTCGCGATCCCCTATCCCGCAGTCGCGCTTCGTTCAATTACGCTTGCGACGCGCACGAAAACTCGCGTACCACGCGTCCGATCGCATCTCGCCAGGACGAGAGGCGGGATTTTTCTCGGATCGAGAGATCGAGAGATCCGACGCGCCCTCCCGCAGCGTTCCCCATCCCTCGATCGTCTCCGCGGCGTCTCTCTCGGCGCTTCTCGCGTCGCGGAATCGTGCCCCGCGCAGAAAACCGCGCGTCGACTCGCCGCTATTTATCGCGCATTGAAATTCATAGACATTCCTCGCGTACGCGTTCCCCGTTTCTCCCTCGCGCCGGCGTAAAAAAAGTCGGCGAGTACGCGCGAGAGGAACCGCGGCGGAAAGGGAGGCAGAGAGCCCAGAGGGAACCGTGGGGAGGAACAGAGGGAAGGGACGATGCTATCGGAAGTGAAGGATGATCCCGGTGCGGGATCGCGAATCACAATGATCTTACGCCCACGAGGATCTATCCCTGGGCCCCGGAGGACCGCGGAACCCGTGGCGTTGCGATGAATTTATCCGAGGCAAGATCCCCGCGCCGGATACCTGCGGTACACACGTCGCCGCACCGGTACACCCGTAATGCGCGGTCACCGGTTCCGGTACGGCGTTATCTGGATACTTGGTCGGAATCGGCGCGATCCAGCGCTCTATAGCCGCGCGATAAAGCCTCCGTGACATCGATAGCCTGCCAATACCGCGGCCATCACGGCGTTACGATTATCGTCGCGTGCCGCTAATTAATCACCCGTCCCGAGTTTCGACATCGCCCGTGATATTCCCATTCGAAGCGTCGCGTGTATCGTTAGGCAAATCGGTAACTCGTGACCTCTTTCCCCTTCCGTTCCGAGCATTCCCGAATTCCTCGGCCAAAGATCAGGCAAACGTCCGAAATTTCCCCCCCCCGCGCGACACCCGATCCGCGTCCGATCTCTTTATCCCCCCTACGTGAGCGCGAGGATCGATCGATCCGTCCGCTAATCGGCGAAAATTCGCCAAGGCGAGTCACCTTCGGCGTTTTGTCCGCCGATTTAATCTCTCGCCGAGTGACGACAGCGACGATAACCCGCGAGCGCGGATCATTATTTCCTCGCGCGTCCGCGCGTTTTCGGAGAATCGGTCCGGCCGACTGGTTTTCCAATGCTATCTGTCATCGTGTCGCGCAGGCCGCTTTTCATCGCGGGCACGTTCGAAGATTATCGCGAGGTCGCCTCGTATCTGCACGTGAATCTCGGAAATATCATTCCCGGTGACCCGTTTTCCCGATCGGAATCGATCGCACCCCGACCAGGCGTATTTCCTCCCTCGCGTTGGAAAAGTGCACGGAGGATAAACGATCGGTGGTGGGTGATCTGACTGGCGAAAAGGCACGATGCGTCATCGATCGGCTGGCGAAACTCGTTCCGGTCGCGGCGCCGTATCGAGGGAGACAAATCGGGTTCGATTAGCTTCGTTTCACCGTAACGTTCGATGACTTTTGATATTTAATCGGCGAAGACAAGCGCGCGCGGTGCGGCGCTTTCCCTCGCGGGAACTCGAAGAGCGCGGCTGTTGCGTAATCGCGCGTAACGCCTGCGTGGAGCAGAGCGGCGATCGGGCCAGCTGGGAAGCGGTGGATCGGTTGTGTGGCACGTGGACCACCGTCGGGAAATCGGAAATTGCCGTGGCAGAGCGCGATTCGTCGCGCGACACGCGATACCGTGAGTCGAGCGATTTCTTCCGTGACGAGACGCAGCTGAAAACGAAAGTCATCGTCGTGTGCAGCGACTGCGTCGTCGTCGTCGTCGTCGTCGTCGTCGTCGTGTGCCATCGATCCGGAGAGAGAACGGAACACGAAATCGTTTCGTCGTTGGGCGAAAAAGTCACGATGAGTCGCTCCTTTCTTATCGTCTGTTCTCCTCGGACCTAGTCCGGGGCTAGACTTGGAAAGAGCGCAGCGTTATCGTCCTCTCTGTTATCTTCGATCCGACGAGCGAGAGATTACCGGCCGATTAGCTGCCAAACTTCTCGGAGGTCCGTGCGTCTCGTGGAAACGGGAGATAAAAGTCGATAAGGCCGCTGAAAGGGAACTGCGTACGGTTGCGTGACCTTGAGGGAACGTATCTCATCATCCTTGAACGTGAACCACGGGTCAGCAACGGTAAAGGAGCTGTGTGTATGCTTAACCGACACATGCACTTATCTTCTATGATACTTTAGCGCTGAAAGGCAGGAGCTGCTATAAGTACATGCAAATCGCGCTCGAAATAACTCTAGCTCGTGGTCTACGGTCGCGCGTCGTAAGGACGGAATCATCGATTCGAGTAGGTCTCCACGGTTAATTAAAGCGTTCGTCCTCGTTCCTCGCCGATCGATCGCGTCCCTCTCGCCAAACCACTCCGCGATCTCCTCTCTCTCTTTCTCTCCTTCGTCTACGCTTTTCTCTGTATACGTATACACGCGCGTATGCATATACAGAGAGAAAGAGAAAGAGAGAGAGAGGGGGACACGTTGACCGTCTTTGGGAAACGTTCGCGGAGCGTCTCAACAGCCGATACGCGTTACACCACGCGCGCCCCGTAACCGAAGAACATCCGAGGAATATCGGATAAGAGTATCGCGAGTCGGCGATCCACGGATGACTCGATCGCGAGGAGAAGAGCGGGGAGAAAAGCGGGATAGAAATATCTCGTGACTGTGCTACCCTACACCCCTCGCTCTTCTGCGCGTCGTTGTTCGTTTGATCGGGGCGAGCTACCGAGACGAGAGGAACCGACGACGCGGCTGGGATGCATCGCGAGACCGCGAGACGAGGGGTAGTTTGGTATTTCGTCGCCATGCAGAGAAAATTGTCGAATTATCTCGATCCGTGGATCGTTTCGCGATCGTTTCGCCGCGGCGGAGAAACTGAAACAACGAAAGAAGAGGGGGCGAAAAAATGGGCGTAAAGAAAGGCTGGGCGCTTGAGGGGGCTTGAGTGGTAAAAACAGTTGCATAGGGGTTGGATGCATGCTATTAGTAATAGTGAAGACGTACCCTGTACCAAGTGGCCACCTGCGAGGCGCTCGAAAGGGGTGGAGAAGCGGTGGTATATCCGCGACGCAACACACCGGAGGTGGAGGGTGAAGGTCGGGCCCGAGGGCGCGATTTTTGTATATTTTCGATATTGTCGGTCGATTCGCGCGTGCGTGTCACGCAGTACGGGGGTGCGTTCGAAGAGGCGGGCCCCAACAAGACGATAGCACAGGTGAAGTGGTGGTTGGTGGTGGTTCGGTGGTGGCGGGTGTAGTGTATTCGCACGCCCCGTGCAAGTGAGGCAAAAGCAAAAACAACAACAACAACAACAACGCCACAGGTCAGAAAAATATACACGATTAATCGATGGACACTCGCGTGTCGCTGTGCATAAGTACTAATTAGTATAACTATATATACATACACGCATACATACGTACACACATACGCACACGTATATATCCTTCTCTCCCTTTTTCCCTCCTCTATTTACATACGCACACGTATATACGCGTGTACATCGTTCGCGGTTTCCGAGAGACGCGCCTATGTGATGCGTGTGGGTGTGTGTGTGTGTGTGTGTGTGTGTGTGTGTGTGTGTGTCGGTGTAGTCTTGTCGCGGGAATCCTTCGGAACGCGCTCGATGACTATTAACGTTTCCACCGCGCTCCATAAATCCAGGATACGTTGAAAAATTCGAACAATACTGCACGCTCGCCCGCGGTTAATTTTCTCTCTTTGATACCTCGCGAGAAGCGAAGGTAATAGACGGTGGCCGATCGACGCCGAGCTCTGGCCGATTAACAGGATAGCCAATTATCAGCAAAGGCGAAACTCCGCGTGGAATGCAGGTGAACGTATCCGTGGCAGCGATAGCGAGTCGGTTATGGGCGCGCGCGGCTTAGCTCGCGCCAGCGAATATCCGGACCTTTTGCGCCACGAGCCTCGGCGACGCCTTGCGTCGTTCGTCATCGAACGCCTTCCGAGCACGCGAGGTCTGGCAAAACGGATTCGTAACAGTTCCAATAAATTCGTACCGCGATCCTCGGACTAACGTTTGCAGCGGGACAAAAGGCGAAGAGAGAGAGAGAGAGAGAGAGGAAGGAAAAGAGAGAAAGAGAGAGAGAGAGAGATAGAGAGAGCAGTTTCCGAAAGATGGAAGTCGCGCAAACGAGAATGGCACCGGTAGTCGTGAAAATTCTTCGCGAACAGCGGGAGAAAGACGAGTGAAAAGAGAGAAAGAGGGGAAGAAAGGGGAAGGAGAAAGGGTTGCATTGTACTAGGGAAAAATAGAAGAAGCGACAAGGATCGGGTATTTTCTAGCTCCCATTTCGCCACGAGAGGTGGCACGTGTTGGTGTCTGTTGTTGTGAGTGGCGGTGTGCGACTGGTACGTAGTATTTCTGTGGCGCGATCTCGAAATTCTTCGGAGCCGGACATCGGAGCGCGAAACACCGCAGGTACGGTTCGATTTGCATTTTCCTCGGCGCGGCGTGCGCATCGTTACTCGTTCCCGGGAACGAATATCTCGATAAATAAAGCGAGAGACGTTGCAGCGGCGCACGGTAGCGATCCCCTCGAGATCTCTTAATCCTGCGTGTGCTTCGTGACTTTCCGTCACGGCTCCGGCTACGACTACCGATGAAAAACGAGAGAGAAGAGTCAGGAAGCCCGGTCCAGTCTCGCCCGCGGAGTACTTGCCCCGCGCGCGGGGGCCAACCACGACGCGACGTGGTTCCACGGAGTCCCCTGCAATTTCGCGAAATCGACGTACAAAGTGGCAGTCTGCCGTAACGCCGTGTGTATTTTTGAGAATGCCCGACACCGAGTCCTTGGCATAGCGGGGGAGCTCGTGATCCCCGATGTGCACACCGGCCACGGCAACGAACCGTACGATCCAAGCCGCGCGAGTGCAACGTGTACACGCGCGGGTCCGAGGAACAACGCGGTACACACCGGCGGCTCGATAGGGATCGACGGTAATGGATGGTAACGCGTGCAACCCGCGATCATCGACAAGTACAAGGACGATTACGATTTTTCATGGAACGCGAACGGCTCCCGATGACTCGCGATTAATGCCTTGGCGCCACGAGTGCCGAGGATAATGCAATTCGAGACCGTTAATTGACCGATCGACGCGAACGAATCGCAGAAAGCTCGAATATTCGCCGGGTCCCGACTCTTCCAGTCCGTCTTCAAGGATCTTCGCTAATGGATTCTCGCGAGGAGTCAGTCACTCGGAAGAGAGAATCGACCAGAGAGGTGGATAGAACGGGCTTACCTTGGGCAAGGATGCCAGGCATTGCTGCTTCACGTCCCAGACGAGCTGATCCTTCGGGAACTGAAGACACTTGCTGACGTACAGCTCCGGGACGTGCACCCTGGCGAGGAGCACTCCCTCCTCCACCGGTCCGGCCTCCGCGGTTGCAGCTGCGACTGCAGCGGCATCCTGATTCTGTTGACCTTGAGCTTGGCCTTGAGCCTGGCCGCCTTGCGGACTCGCGGCCTGGCTAGATGTCTGTCCCGTGCCAGCGGTCGTCGAATTTTGCTGTTGCTGCTGCTGCTGCTGCTGCTGCTGCTGCTGAGGCTGAGGCTGCTGCTGAGGCTGCTGCTGAGGCTGCTGTTGCGATTGCGGCTGCTGTTGTTGCTGTTGCTTCGGTCCCGCCTCCATTGCGAGGACCTCGCGCGTCTCGAGGATTCCACCTTCACAGGCTCACATCTGAAAGAGGAAAAGAAGAGATTCGAGTATGGCCGTCTCTTCGCGACCAGTTTCTTTTTTCCTCGTTCCTTTCAGCGGGCAATCGGCCCCCGATTGTGCCGTTACCGCGGCCACGTCGCGAATCCGCCGCGATCGAGACGATATCTCGAAACGAGGCAACAGGAAGACCTGCAGCCCGCGTAGGACGAAGGGAAAAAAGCCGATGAAGAAATTAAAACGGTCCACGGACCCGGTCTTTATGGCCCCGCTAACGGTAAAGGAAGACGAGATTACCCCGATGGAAATAAAGTAAACGGCGCCGGAGATGCCGTGACAATTTTTTTCAACGCTCGTAAAAGCCTTTTATACCCCAAGCTTCGCGGAAACTCCTCTCCACCTCTCGATCCTCCTCGCTCGCGCGAGGAAAAACCGCGGCGGAAATCTTTATTAAAGGCATTCGACGAGGATACACGCGCGCAGGATGCACGCGTCGAATCGATTATGCAGGATGGAGGCGTGTTCGCGTTCCTCGCGCGTTTTCACGCGTTTCTTCGCGAACCACGCGATAACGCGGCTGACCACTTCACAATTCGACCTCCAACCCCGGGGGTTAACTATCGGTCGGCGATAATTTACGCGCTAACGAGCAACGCGGCTCCGCCACTTTCACTCGCAACTTTCCAACGAGCATAAACGTCCAGGCACTCTCGCGCCTCGTTGTTGCGCGTCTTCGTCCTCCGAGATTAACGCTCGTTGCGTTCCCTGCCTCCGCCGTTCGACACGCGCAACGCTATTCGATTTGCCGATTTCCCGCGCAATTATCGCGCGAACGCGAAAGAAGCGCCGGTAGTCGCGTCGATCCTTCATGCACCAAACACTCGCTGGAACATCGAAAGGAGGATATTAAAAAAGGGGACCATTTCTGCGGCCATCTTCCAAGGAACAAAAAATTCCTGTGTCACTTTGCCGAGAAACGATGGGAAAGTTGCAAAAAAACGAGTCGATATACAAGGTGTCCCGGCAACGATAGGAAAAACCGAGGAGGGTGTTATTCTACGTGAAAAAACGAATCGAAAATGAAGAATAACATTTTTTCACTCGAAGCTTCGTTGTCGAGAAAATCCACTTTGAATATTCCTGGAGCAACGCGCGTACTTAACAACTATGGCGGCACATCAGCGTACTCGGTGAACATTCAAAGTCGATTTTCTCGCCAACGAAGCTTCGAACGAAAAAATTTGATTCCTCCTTTTCGATTCGTTTTTTCACGTAGAATCACCCCATGCTAAGATACCCTGTATTTCGACTCAGTTTTCACGACTTTCGCATCGTTTCTCGGCCAAGCGATAAAGTAAAATCTTTTCTTCCTCGGAGGACGCTCTTTAAGGTCCCGCGGGAATTTTTCATCCGAAAAAAATGGCCTGTTTTTAACATCCTCCTTCACTGTTCAGAGAGATCGAAGAAGCTGATCCCCTGTCCCCAGTGACGGGAACGGAAGGAAATTATTCCGCGCTTTTCACGAACTCGAGAGAGCTGGAGCTTGGCGTCCGCGCGGAGCATCGGGGCGTGGAGCGTGGTCGGAAACTGTTACGGGAAAGGATATCTTTGTAAACCGTGGAGCGGCTATTAGCTGTCCGATGTGCACGGACTTTCCTAATTACTTCTCTGTCAAAGTTAAACGTTCAGAGAAGCGGGGAGAGCGAACAATGATGCTCGGAGGAGAGACGAGCGCGAGCCACGCGATGCCGGATTCCGCGAAATTCGATTCGTCGCTGGCTCGTTAGCTGCTCCTCACAGGCGGTGATGCGCTACGGTAACAGAGGTGTAGCATGATCAAGTAGCATGATCGGAGCCCGGCGCGATGTGTCAGGTGTGGCAGCACACCGGGGAGAAGTTCGATGGGAAACCGCAGACGCCATTAAACGCAAGCGTGTTGCCGGTTGGCCGGGCTGCGTTAAAACTCGAAATAACCCACTGACCGCATCGTATACGCCATGCTTACGCTTCGAGGACAATAGCCAAAGAAGCGAAGACGAGGTGGTAGCGCCGCAAGGCCGCATCCTTCGCGGCCAGAAAAACGCTCGTCCTTACGCGTCCATGTTCCGACGACGATGGGATTTCCTTTTTCCGACCTTTCTCCGGAGAGTGGAGGCTGCAGAGCCAGCCAAGGGTACGAGAAACGCGGTGCACGGAGAAAGCGGAACGACGGGATCCGTCTTTCCTGATGGAAGAAAACGACCAGAGAGGGTACGAAGCAGCACGACTGGATCCGACGAGACGTTACGACGATAATTTCGCGTTTCCCATGAAGCAGCACTCCCCCCTCCCGTGCCATTCTGTCCCCTCCCACGGTGAGATTTTAGCACGGGTATCGTAGACCAGTCGAAACGATACCGATACGCTACCGCTTTTTCCAACCGGCTAATCGATTATCGCCTCTCGAACGGGCTATCCTCGCGCGACTCAGGAGACGCAGGAGAGGAACAAAAGGAAGGAGCAGCACAAGAAAGATAATAAGAGGGAACACGAAGGGAGACGATGATGAACCGAAGGGGAAGGATCGTACGGATGGACGGACAGCAAACGCATCAATGACAAGCCGTAAATCATAGTTTTACGACCCGTCTTTATGTGGCCCTTATTCGTGGCAGTCATCGGTGGAGTGCTTTTGCCATTTTTCTGTCTGGCCACCCTGTGTGCGGCGCATTCAGGGCCGTATCGGCTCTGCTGTGGCCGCGATCGGGCCTCGCGTTTCTTCCTACCGATCGAGCGAGCGGGACAGACGCGGCACGCGAAATACCGTCGACTTTCGTGACGCTGGGGGCAACAATTAGCGCTCGACGTGCTCGCCATTCAGCCGACTATCGGAAGTTTAAACCCATTCGAAGAAGGAGAAGAAGAAGAAGAAGAAGGAGAAGATAAACGTCCGTGAAAGGTAAATGGCGCTGCTGCGAGAACCTCTTGGATTTTTGCCTTCGGGGGCTCTTTCTTCCTTAGAAAGAACGCGGGAAAAAAATATTTCAACGACGCTGCGAATGTTTAAAGAAGATCGGTGGACGTGTTCGAGAGACAAAAGAGAGGAACGGGCACGGCGTTAGCGTTCAACGAGGATCGCTCGATCCGCCCCTGGACGCGCGTAAGTGCATACAGCAGGTACCCGCTGCGTGGGCGTCGCTTTACGGGTTTGCTTTTAAGTGGCTGTACCTTAATTCGAGAGTCACCTAACAGTGTCGTGCTTAACGGTGATTCAATGATAATTAAAAAAAATCCAAGGCTGCCCATGGAATCATGCCCGACGACGAAGGGGAGGAACTCCGAAGGACGGCCAGGGGTTAAAGTACGACCCTGACATTCTCTTCGTCGCGACCGCGTACTCCTCCGGCTCTAACCCCCTACAGACTCTCTCTCTCTCTCTCTTTCTCTCTCTCTCTCTCTCTCTCTCGCAGCGTCGTGATCGTGCGAGAAAATCTATCGAGTATATTCGTAACACGCGCGTATATTTTCCCGTGAAATCGACTACGATCCCGGCTACGATCGGTTTCCCCGATAAACGGACGCGGGTCGTGCGATGCGCTTGAAAATTCAAGTCTCGAACATCCGTTGAAACGGAGGAAGGAGTAGTCGGGGCACGACTAGAAAATCCTCTCGTTCGTTACCGATCGAACGTGTTCGTCGACGCTCCGCAGCCTCGCTGTCCGTCGCCATAAGGGAATAAGGAACCACTCTCGTCGGGACGTCGATCTCGCGGAGGACCACGCGAAATAAGGGACGAGACAGGCGACGAAATATATGCAGATCACGGAAAAACGCGAGGGACCGGAGTCGAAAGGGCGGTAGACGAAGCTTCTGTTGGCTCGACGCGGAGTCAATCACCACCGCACGCTCGTGCGCGCACGGACGCGGAATAAACGAATTCCTCCACGCCACGCGTCCTCGTAGACGGAAAGAGAAAGATCTTAGACGGCAGGGAAAACGGCCCAGGAATCCCCGAATTTCTATTCCGTCGGCAGAAACCTACGTCCACTGAATTTTCCCGACTTGGTAAGGCGCGAGACGCCTCGTTATCGCCTTTTCGGCTTCAGAATTCTAACGAGGAGTTAAAAACGAGGAGCGACGCGTGAGGATTTGGCTCCTCGTGGTCGTTCCCGAATTCGTCGTTGCACCGTCGATGAACCGGTCAACCGCAGACAAATAACTAGCCAGAGACTCGACTCGGAAAAGACGCGACGAGTCGAAGAGCCTGACAGACTATAGCCGGAAAACGCGAAACTGGCTGAAAACCGGAACAGTGACATATGCCCTGCGAACGCGTAGCATGAGCGGCTAGGCTGCAATTACCGGCGAGTGTAAAACATTAGGCTGGCAGAACGGGCAGGCAGCGTGGCATTGTTCCCAGCGCGTTTTGTTGCTCGTTGCCGTTGTATCGATCGCGCCAGATGTAAATCATTCTCTATAATTACGGAAACAATGAGCCGACCGATAACGACGTAACCGCACGCCGCGGTCGGGAGCACCAAAGGGTCGCGTAATCAAGGACAACGTTACGGAATACCCGATGCTTCTCCGATATTTATCGCCACGGCCGAATGTTCCCGAAAGCGGATATTCACCGGAGGAACGCAGTCGACCAACGGGTCTCTATCCCCCGTGGGCCGATAGGGATAAAAATTGCTCGCGAAACAGGATCAAGCGCAGCCGTCCGATCCCCTCGATCGTTCAATCAAACAATTACCAGCTGGTTCCCGCGTTCATCGCGTTCGATCAGCGTCGGGCCTATCAAAATGATTTCGCTGATGAAAACGGACCGGCCGGCCTCAGAGCGGGCCGCTTCCGGCGAAGGAGCGTGAGAGGGCGAGGGAGAGGGAGGAAAAAAGGAGCGTCGCGTCGGGTGGGAATGCATGCAAGGTACACACAAGGTATATAAAGAGGAAGTTCCCCCGTGAAGACCGGGAGAGAGTCTGGCCACGGCGACGCGCGTGTAACACACGTGTAACGATCACCGACGCCGTGTGAACGCGAGGGGTGACGACACGCCGAGGGAAGCACGTCGGAGCGGAAAAGAAGTTCCACGACGACGACGTTGCCAGAGGGTAGGGGAAAGAATAACGCGCACCACCTTCCCTCTTGCAGCCGCCTTTCGCGTCGGGCCACCGGTTACTTCCCTTCGAGGGTGCTGCGCATCAGCCCCGAGGGGAATTCGCCCGGTTTCGGCCCCCTCTTCCCCCCCGCGTAGATGCACTCGCCTTTTCAAACCGTTCCTCCTCGTCGAACCGCGTCCAAGCGATGGAAAAATCTCCCACGGACTTCCGATCTCCTTCTTCCGAGGCCCTTTCCAGAAACAGAGTCCGCCGTTACGACGTTTCTCCTTCGAGATGATCCGCCCCGTGTGTCACTTCCTAGGCACGCGTGCACGGGCACTCGCGCGTAATGACGCTCGCGGACTACTGCTTCCTATGACTGCACGTCGACGGGTCCAATAAATCGCGGAGCCAATAACCAACGATGGAAATTAAAGTAACGGGGGGAGGAGAATTGGGTCAGGTGAGGGATGCTCGAACGTGTCACGAGCACGATAAAAGTAACGAGGACGGTAAAGGGGTTCGGGTTTTCACCCGCAATTTCGGATCGAACATCGGGCACCGGTAGATCGCGAAACGACTTTCGTCGAGGGTCGGGGTGCGAAGAATAGCCGGGCGAATAATGGAATGTCATAGTTCGGGGGTTCGAACGGTGACAGAGCAGGTAGCAACGTCGAAGGTCGGGATGGAGGAAACGACACAGCCCGCTCGCGGAATTTACAAATACTGGATGATCTATAGGTAGGGGGTATTTAGACGAGACGGTTCTCCGTTGGTGGTAAAGCTCGCATCGCGCGATATTCGTTTGCCCGTGGCGACGGGCAAGCTCGTGGGACCGCGAGGCTAGCCGGACGACGCGGTGCCGCATTAAATGGAGAAATATGGAGCTCGTTACTCGCTATCGGGACACGTTACGGGGGCATTAATCCGCGCTGAGCGCGCAGCGAGATCTCATAAAGGTATTCGTGCCACATCGTGGCCCACATTCCGCGAAAGAACCCAACAGACGCGTATAACCTTGACGGCCCGGTCGGGCCTAGTCTTCCACCGAGAATGTGCAGGCTTCGGCTGGATCGCTGGCCAAGCCGCGCTTTGTTCGATCGGAAAGGGGAACACGGTTTCGCGATTTCCAGTTGCTCGCAAGGGAAACGCGCACGTGCGGTATTCCGCGACAATGATCTTCGAGGTCGATGAGAAATCGCGGAAATTCCTGCAGCGCGGAACTCGGCGCAGAGTTACGTCGCGACAATGGCCATAAGCGAGGCGGAATTGCGCCGGCACGAAGTTCGTCGTCCTCCAGCTACGCGGCTCTTCTCGGAGGGTACGATCCCGGGGACGATTGGTGCGACGCTTGGCGAACGAGCGAATCTCCGAAATAGAAGAGCGGAAGCGCGATGCGCCAGCAAGGGTGTCGGAAGGGTGGCCACAGGGTGCAGGGTGTTCTGGTTGAAAACAAGCCGCGAGCAGGACGGAGCGAGCGGGTGGGAATAAAAGGAAGCGGAGGACGGAGGGAGAAGGGGCGAGAAGGCAAGGAGAGCGACAGCAGAGGCGGTAGAGGCTGCAGCGGCGGCGACGAAGGAACTTGGGGAATACAGGGGTGGCGATGGAAAAGAGCAGAGAGGAAGCGAGACTGGATCGCGCAACGTTGGGAAAGCACGTGCCGGTGAACGCGAACGCTGCTTGCCGACACTTACCCCACGTTCAACGACCCCTGGGTTGCAAGAGCGCGAACGACGATCAACCCCGTGGTCTGCCGGCGGGTTATCGCAGCGTCTCTCACCAGCAGGATCGGCCATTGCCGAAAACAAGCCCGGAAACTACCCACTCCCCCATCCCCTGGCCGATGATCGGCGTACGGTGTGTGGTCGGTGTTGGTGTGCGGCGAACGGATCGCGCGTTGCCGCTATTCGGGGTTGCCCGCAGCGAGATGCACTAGCAAGATGGCGGCCAGTCGACGGTGGTCCTCTCCTCCCGAAAGAATCGTCTGGGAGGGAGGTGGTCGAAGGGTAGCGGATGCGGCGGTTCGTGTCCGTGCGACTGGTTCGCGGCCAGACGAGCGATTTCGCTGGCGAAAAGCGCATCGGCGGCGCGAAAAGGAGGACCGGCAGCTCCGAGGCGAGATCCAGCCAGCGTGGAGTGCATCGCGCGACTGTCAGCCCGCGGGCGGGGACGGGGGTGGCGCGTATTCCGGCGAGCCAGGTGGCGCCAGCGCAGCCAGCCGGTTTTCAGGATGTTCCAGGGGTAGTTGGGAAGCCTGGTGGTGGATGTTCGTCGCTTGGCAACCACGAGAGATCGACCGAGTGTGCCAACCGCCCTTCGCCCTCCTCCCTTCTTCGCCTCTCGCGCTACCGTTGCTCTAGCTGCTCTCGCTGCCTTCCTCTTTCTCTCGCTCTCCCTTTCTCCTCTCTCTTTTCATCCCTTCGCGCTGCCCTCTTCTTCTTCTCCGCCGCTACCACCACCCCCACCACCACCACCACCATCACCTCCACTGCCAGCCTTTCTCCGTCTCCATCCCTCTCGTGCACGCGCTGGGCCACCACCCTCGCGCGTGCTTCCCAGCGATGGGAATGATGCCCCCGCGGCCGTTATCGATGCGAGCGCCCAAACTATCGCTTTTTCTCCGCTGTTTATGCGAGTCTACCATCGATCGCGAATCGATACACGGGCGAACCTAACGCGAGTCGCGCGACCATGGTCTCCGTGTCGCGCGTTCGCCTCGGTTCCTCCTCGACAGGGTGACTAGAGGCATGCGCCGTCTACTGGAAATTTCCCAACGTCGATTAAATTGTTTCCATCCTCGTGGCCATGACGGTTCTCGCCGTTTTTGTATCGGGACCTTCGTCGAGAAACGATTAGTGGACGCGAGGCGTCTAGATTCGAGGGACCGACGGGGGCGCAGGGGGGTCGTTGATAGATGAGAACTCGAAGATTTATGAGCGGAGGAGAACAACGGGCTGCCCGGCTAATGAATGATGATCGCCGATTCGGAAAGAGCGGACCGATGTCCGTGGATAGGTCTGACGAGTCGCGACGGCACGTCTCTCTCTCTCTCTCGCTCTCTCCTCTCCGGCCAGGTATATAATCTCACGGACACTTTTGCCGCGTTTCCACCGTCGACTCGCGTTAATAAGCGCTCGTCGATCGGATCCTTTGCCTTTTCCCTCCCAGATGGCGCGATCTTAATTAATTCCGCGGCCGGTTTCCGGTTAACGGAAGATCGTCCGAGGAGATTACCTTCGTCTCCGCGTCGGCCATCTTCGCTCTGACTTTGTTTCCCCGAGACACCCCGGTAATTACTCCGATTCCGCTTGTCGATCTCGGAAAGAAATCCTCGCCGAACTAGTGCTTCGTTTTCGAAATTCGCGCCATAGACCATAGATCGCGCTCGGTCCCCGTTCGCTCGAATAAAATTTCCTCGACGAGACTAATTTTTCCACAAACATTTCGAACGTACCATCGAATCCGGGGATCGTCGATCGACGGTTTCACTTTTCCCAGGACGCGATTCGTGCCCCCTTTCCAGGACGAGCGACTTGTCCTTCGATCGATCGGTTTCACGCAGCCAGGAAAGACGCACTACCGATTGTGATCGCGAAAGGCGGTTTCATCTTTTCTCGGGAATCGTTGCCGGCCTTTTATGGCGGAAAAATCCATCGGAATCGAACGCTGCCTTAAAAGTCATTACCCGTGATTCGTCGTCGCGTCGCGTTACAACCAAAGACAGAGTAATTTACAATACCTCAAGGACCGAGGCCCCATCGAGCACTCCGCTCGCCATTGTCACCTTATTTACGGAACGGCCGATCCCCGAGAGCTTAATCGATTTTAGGAACGATCGTTGGAAACGCAGTCGAACCGTCGGAATTCCGAGGCATCGAATCACACGTCGAATTCCATTCAACGCGCGTTCCTTCTCGATTCGCGCGTAACGAAAACGTCGTTGTCCGAAGGCGGAGAAGAGTTTCGCGACCATCTTTCTCGCTTTTGGCACTAGATGGATTTCAACTTGAAGGAGGTTCGAGCACTTTCTCGCGAGTTTAAATACAAAGTTCCCATGTTACCTAAGTATCCGCGTCTAAGGCAGGGCCTACAATGTAGCCCTATCGATGAGTTCACTAGCAGGCCCAGGACGAAAGGCACCCCTTCTTTGCGTCCTTCTACCTGCTACCAATCATAGCAAGGTCGCCATCGGGATACCAACAACCGGTAACACTATAGGAACCACAGAAACTTCGTCTTCGGCACCCTCACATTGTTGGTTATTTGGAAAATGTTCCTTCGCAAAGGTTAATTTCACTGACGCTTCCTTTGCTCGAGAAGCTTCAGGGCACTCTTGGACCGATCGTCTCTGTTGGGAATTTCGTGATGGAAACCCGAATGATTAACGTGCAGGGAAGTAGCCGTATCCAGTTACACAGCATATACAGCAATTGTAAATATTAAAGGTTTAATACACGTGGAATTTATACGCTTTATGCAATATACAAATAAAACACAAAAGTCTTTTTCAATGCCACTGTGGGTCACAGTATATAAGGTATCTGTACCGCTCCTGATTTGAGAGTGAGGAGCTCCGAGGGACAGCAGGCCCTTTTAAACCCCCAAAACCGACCCCTTGATGTCCAAAGCTCGGTACTGGCCTAAAACCTCTGACAGGCCTCTCGTCATCGTTGCATGGGCGTAGCTGACTTCTAACAGTCTCGTTCCCGATTCAAGTACAATCGTTCCGCGATCGACCCGGTGCATTTTCCATTCGTCCCTTCTAGATACCTGCGACCAGCCGATATTCAACAACCATGGGGGAGGACCTCCTCCCCCACAAGAGTATTCGGAGCGGTGTACCCGTTCTCGCCGGGTAAAACGCGTGAATATGCAAATGCGGGACTCGCGTGCCATTTAGCCGAGCCACCGGAGTGGATTTCATTTAGCCCCTGGTTCCGACGGGGAATAATCCTTTCCTCGTGGACTGCCTGGACGCCGCGACGTCGCGTTCTTTCCACTCGTTCGTCAAACTTTCCGCTCGTCCGTGCACGATCCGTCATTACAAATTCATTGGTCCGTGGCGCGGTGTTCGGCTGGATCCACGGACCAAGAGTAGACCCAGACCCTCGACGCGTTAAAGGTTACACGCTCGGAAGCCGACCTGTCAAGGTTTCCGATCCACCGCGAGGATCGGTGGGGCTAATCCGACCTTCGAACGCGAGGGGGCAATTCGACGACAATCGAATCGGTCCCCTTCGCTCGAGATAGGTCCTACTATCGCGGGAAACGAGCTCGATAGAGGGAAGAACGACAAAGTACGCACGTTCGAGACGATTCGCCGGAACGCGTCCTTTCTTCGGCGTGACAAAGCGCAGCGGGTTGTCGCGAGCACGCGCTGCTCGTTAGCCCGCGAAAGACGATACTCGTGATTCGAAGGAAGGTCGAGCGAGTGGCTGCGGAAAGGACGCGGAGGGTGACGCCGCACCCTCTGCAGCGAGGAGTGGCGCACGCCGGGGGTGAGAAACGGCAAAGCTTCGAACCGCGCCACGCGAGTCCTTTTGTCGAGAAGCGCGTGGGTCGAGATTCTTTCGCCTTCGAGTGCCTTCCACCCTCCAGCCACGCGAGGAATTACGCGGCAGGACCCTACTCTGGAGGGTACGCGGCCACTGGCGTCGCGCGGCCGTAACGAGCTTCGTTGCCTAAACAATTCCTTCCTCGAATACGAGCGCTGGAATTTACTCGGTCGGTGGATCACGATGGACGAGAATATCCGAGCGTGCCACGCTTCGAACGAGGATCGATCTCGCGAGCGGAATCGTGGATCCTTGGACGCGTCGGGAATCCTTGCGACGTCTAGCTCGCGTACGCACCCTCGACGCGGGTGACGAGAGGAAGCACGAGTTTGGAGGACGTGGTCGGCGAAACGAGGGACGACGAAGGGTCTGGCACGGTGGTTCGCTCGGTGGTATCGGGCAAACGCGTCGCCTCTCGCGTTTCATAACAACGCCGCGTTAACGCGACCGCTGCGAGTGCGCGCGGAGGAAAGCGGCGCTACGAGAGAGAGAGAACGGAGCTTTCATCGATCCCGATACACGCCGGTGGAAACTCGTAAACAAGCAGGAAGCTTGCGTCAAGATGGGCGAGGCGGTGCGCTCACGGCTACGCGTCGCTCCAACGATTTACCGTCCGATTCCCTCGGGAGGAGAGCAGGATCGCTTCTGCTACGTGGTCTAGCAGCGGAACGCGTGCGACGACCTTCGCGGTAATTTTTCGATGTCCTCGACGAGCGACGATGAATCGGGAGCGAACTCGATTCGCGGAGATTCCGTTGGCGCGAACGAGCGTCGGATGAATGGGACAAACGACCCGGCGCGTTTCGTAACAACGACGCACGGTAATGGAAGGCTGGACGGTGCCATGGCCACCGGTCCAGCTGTTAGCGTGCATCGACGACTGGGCGTCGGTGTCGTCCAGCGAAACTTTTCGTATCTCCGCGACGCGGAGGCGCCGTTTCGGAGGACAGAGTTCAAGGTCTGCGGTCGCAGACAACCTCCACTCTTATCCTCTCTTTCCCGTTGCCTAGAATGCACCCTATCGATTCCAACGATTCCTCTTTTCCTCTCCACTCGCTCTCTGCGTCGCTGTCCGGCTTGCCTGGGACGACAGAGGGCGGGGAAAAGTAGGCGCAAGGTCCTTTCAGATTAGATCGAGCTCAATTTAGTCGGCTGCGGAGGTTTGACCTCGATTTCCAGCCGTCACAGAGACGCCCTCCAGCTTTCAATTCGCGCAGGATGTGACACTCTCTCGTTCTCGGCCCCGTCGCCCCTGGCTCGTCCGGGGCCCGTTAAACGGGAACCGTTTAGCATCGAGGGCATCGTAACCCCTTCCTTTCCGTTTTTTCAACCACCTACACGCTCCATATCCGACATTATCCGTATTATTTTTAACCGCGGTGCGCGCTCGCGCGCGTGGCAGCGGCCGCTTCCTTCGGGGCCCGCGCGGTCCGTTCGCACGGGGTACGTGCACCTCTCGCGCGCCTATCTCGCGTTCCAGCACAGGCTCGTTCGTGTGCGTCGGCCGTCTCGAGGAAGGGCAACGATTGCCGGGTATCGATCGGCGTATCGCGAAGCGCCGAGTCGCTGACTTAAT